CAACATATATATTATGCTGATTCTTTTTATGAATATGTCATTTTAGTATAATGTTTTGGCACACGTTTAGGCTTTTTCGAACTCCTCAGATGAGGAGTTCATTTATTTCTTAAATAAACCTCGAGGTGAATGTGCAAGATTAGGGCTATGTTTATAAGTGAGACATAAAGCAAATGACCCTTTCAAGGATATCAAACTGGCAATATTGAATCTGCGGCCCAATCACGGTCCAATTTATAAAATTAAAGGACAATATGAGGAGCATTACCGTGGCCAGGAACAGCATCATTCGTTAGACTCCGAGGCAATGGATGCAATCTTCGTCAATTGAACTCGGCGCGAATAGATATAAAACCAAGTGGGCATCCAAATACGTTTCGTCGATCAAGATCTAGTTTTGCGAGCTGTCTTATGCCGATAAAAGGCGGTTTAGGACTTGTTTTTATAATATATATACAGCGTGTCGTTACCATCGCGACAATAAATGAACACACGTCTAACGCTACTTGCCAATAATCATAAAAAAATATTAACGTTAATCAAAATCCATAATTAAAAAAAAATATTTTTCAAACAAACTAATTAAGTAAAAAAGAAAATAATTTGTAAAATCCTATACAACTCGCGCCACAGCGTCGTATTACAAGCCTCTCCTTCTAACAGTATGTTTTGTCTCTTTTAAATTCATTCAACCCATTCTTATGCTTGGTGACCTTTACAAATGAACTTTACGTTACGCTTTTATAGGTAGGGATGTTCTAAAATTCTTTGTTTTGGAAAATTTAATAACTCTGTAAATATTGATGTTTAAAAAATTTAAATGTTTAATACAACTTTAAAAAGTTATCCCCTATATGTGTGTTCATTTATTGTCGCGATGGTAATATATTTGTATATATTTTTTTTTCTGTGTATTTACTTTTCTTATTATTTATTTAGTACACCCTACCGCTTTCTTCTTTTAATGAATCCTCAGCCCTAAGGTTGCCTGGAAGAGATCGCTGTTTTAGCTATAAGGCCGCCTGTTGTACCCATGTGTATTTAGATATAAATCCTTTATTTCTATTGGTGTACAAAAAAGTATATTTTTTTTTTTACTTTACTTTACTTCTTTTTAAACCGACTTTAAAAAAGGAAGAGGCTCTTAATTCGGTTGTATGTTTTTTGAAGTTATACTTCTTTTGGCGCGTTTGAAAAAAATTATGAGACTGAATTTTTAAAAAAGCGGCACCTAAAAGCAACAGCAACTTCATGGTGCCATGGCTACCATTAACAACTATTTGCGATTTATCTAAAATTTCAAGTTATCTATGTATTAATACGGGAAGCTAAAACTTTGTACCCCTTTTTACGAGTATTTTGCGCACGGAGTATGACACTTTCCACACTTATAATTTACATAGAGAAGGAGTACAATATGCTAATACTTTTTTTTATTATGCGCAAAAAACACACGAAATCAATAAAAAGATACACATACTACCCCCCCCCCCCCCACACACACTACCACTAGTTTAATTAAACCGTTAGCAATTGAATTGAATTTTTCTTTATTGTGAGGAATTGGCAAGCGAGCTGGGAGTTCACCAGATGTTAAGTGATAAGCGCCGGCCATGGATACTTGCAACACTCGTATGGACGCGCAGATGCGTTTGCCACCTGTAAATAAAGTGCGCCCCGGCTACCTCACTCACCAGACGAAACGCAGAAGTGCATCACTTCTACTTTACGCCGGTCTTCTGTGAGGTCGTGGTACTAACCCCGGACGGACCTGCCCATTAGTGCAACACTGTTGCGTGGCCCTACCACCGTCATTAATGTATTTTATTCATAAACAAAGTGTACTGGCACACGGGATATACCTAATTTTTAGTTATTCTTCTTCTATTATGCTAATGAGGTATAACTTATGTGCGTACATAAGTACACATAAGTTTTTTTTTAAATGTTTGCTAATTAAGTAGTCCTTCGTTTATAAAAATCTTTTTGAATAATTTTAAAAATATTTTTTTGTTAGGAAGGAGTTGCCACAAATAGGTCCCCTTTTAATTTCTGGAATTTGAACCTTAGATTTCGTAGATGCACCGGGGAACTATTCAAAATCGAATGGGAAATGTATAGACCAGTTGATCGAGGCTCCTCCTCAAAATTGAATGGGAATATGCCAGTTGATCGAGTACCGGCTCGTAACATTGTCCAGACAATATTTTTTATCAACTGCGACATGCAAAGCGGCCAGTTTGCACTGAGCGAAAGCGAGTGAACATTACTTTATCTGTCTCGGTTGCAGCGATGCGCGGCGGTACGTGGAATCGCTTGCGAAATGCGTCGAAGTGATCGTATCGTGTGAACCGACGCCTTTATTATTAGGGCAGGTGCACATGCATAACTACACAATAACCAATGGTAGAAAAATTTGACGAAAATTTAAATAGCAGAACAATTTTTCCTTCTAGGAAAGGTTTATCGCCTTATTTCGAATCTATTTAAATAAAATAACAGTTATAAGTAAACTAATGGATAAATTTTAATTAATTCTACAAAGTTTTATATTAAGATACTTAGCCCTTAGCTAAAAAAATATCGTGATATCTTCATTTAATCCAAAGTTATTAAAGTTTTAAGAAACTACGATTTTAATAAACACTACGTGTTCAGTGATGTGCTTTCTAGCAATGAGCCGCCCCACCTCGGTGGAATAGCGACAGGAGGATGATGATGTGTGTGTGTGTGTGTGATCAATAATTAATGGTGATTCTAGTTTTGTTTCTTTATTAAAAGTTTAATGAGTTCATCAACTGCGATTTCGGATAATATTATTGCATGCGCCAAGAGTCAAGTGCGAGTTTTAGTTTAGTAAAATATTTAATTATCTTTTTGAACTGTTATTTCTCTGGTAACTGAACTTTCATTATACATAATACTATCTTCTTAGCAATCTTAATATATTTTATCTATCTTTATATCTATTATATCTTTGCATTTCAAACTCATTTGCAAGAGTGACTTTAGGCTTTTACAAACTATCAACTAAGACTTCAACACTGTCCTATCAGTTGTGATTGAATTAACCGTTAATCATTTGACGGTTGAAAAAAAAATCACGTGTGCACGCTTCCTTATTAGCCGTGGAGCGTCTTTAACCCAATCGGCGCTCTGCAATTGGCACCGCGACGGAACGCAGCACTTGAATTTAGAGAATGATCAAACATCGTCGAGATATGGGCCGTTCGGGCAATTTGCCTGAGCGCCAAGCGGTGCGCGTATCGTTTAATAAATACGTTGAAGACACTGTCCGTTGGCGAAACGACACTGACTATACACGTGGACGTCTGTCCGTCCGGATATGAGGTCATTGTGTTATAGATGAAATGCAAAGCGTGTCATTTCTAATTGATAGTTGCAAGAAGGGACTACCTACCTACCTAGGGATGTATGTGCGATGCTTAAATGTCCTATGGGCCCTAAATGTGACAGTTTATAGTACGAATAATAGATCCACTATGGATTCAATTTCCAATCAGCAAGTGTAACTTTAAGACCAATATGTGTCAGGTTAGTATTTTGAAATTAATACTTGGTTTGATAATAGCTTAAACTCCTTACGTGTTCAAATATTAGTTTAAATTACTTGTAATTAATTAAAATGTGATATGTAAATAATTAAAATTGGAAGAACGCATATCCGATTATTTTTCTCCGAGGAACCTTGACTGATTAGACAACGTGGAGCTAGACCCATAAAGTCTACCTAAACTCGCCTAATAAATCTGTTGTGAATGAAAGTAGAATTTAATTAAACCATTACTACATGCATTTTATGACTTTCACAAACAAATGGTATTGACACACACATGTGATAAAAGTGTTTGTTCTTTTTCTTTTGTTATGATAAATAAGTGTAACTTCTTACGTGTGTACAGTATTGCAATCACTATAAGCCTTTATACTTTTACATATTTTAATGTTCAATCACTATTTGCTTTTATAATTTTGACAACACGTGTAACTTTGTATACGATTCATTGAATTATTCTCGATGCAATCACATTATTAAGGAAAATAGTGAGACGAATATCGGAATGTGTCCGATAATATTGACAAAGTCAAGATCTATTTAGGAATCTTTTGTATCTTTTCCAATAAGGTGATTGAAAAAGCGTTCAAAAGTACTCTTAATAAATTAATAATTATTAGTGGTCGCCCATACATGGTAGTGTGTGTAATCTTTTTATTGATCTAATGTATTTTTTATGAGTAATTAATAAACTATAAGCGTGGGAAATTTCATACCTCCTCCGTCCGCGTAATTTTCGTAAAAGGGGGTAAAAAGTTTTTGCTTCACCTATTTAATATAGATGACAAAAAATCATCCGTGTCGAACATTTTTTATGTTCTACTACGCGACACGCCGCACTTCCGACACAGAAATATTTTGGCATCGTTCACTGTTTGTGTGTTAAAATAGCCGCCTATAAATAAACTAGATTAGAATGCTATCGGCGCGCGTCTAGTTCGTTCACCTACGTCTGCTTTTCAATTTAGCCGTATGTCTGGACCGTTCATGTACTATTTGCGAATAATCTGTTATTGATTGTTAGCAATTAAAATATCGTTTAGATTCTACAATATTTGGTATATACGGAAAATTAATATTCTAATATTATTGGTTACTGTTGGCCGAACGACCAGCCTGTAAGGTTGATGTGTATTTCTATACATAGGACATATTATGTCAAATCTTTCTAGATTTGACATATTATGTCCTAGGATGTTTTCTACAATATTATCCCAATTTACTTTTCTGGTGACGTACTATTTGTGCAAATATATTTCTATCACTAAACGTAGCCAATAATTAATAATAAAATATTTTATTGATAATACGCAATAAAGGCGAATTTGTACCAAACCGTCAATTATTTTTATGTAATAAAGTATTAAAAATGTGATTGACTAATTCATTGTTGCTAATTGTTTTCTTTTTCAATTCTTTACAGATGAACGAGATGCCATACAGAAAAAGACGTTCACAAAATGGGTTAACAAACATCTGAAAAAGGTAATTAATGCATTGTTATAAATGTAATTATAAATTTAAGAATTCATTCTTTGTCCTTCAAAAGCTGTCACAGATAACTTATCTTTAAATTTACAGGAATAATAATATTGATGATCGAATATGCAAATAATAAAACCAATAGGTGGTGTAAATGTTATCTTCATATTTTAAAAACATAAGCATAAAACAATGCGTTTTTGATTAACTTCCTTGATCGTCTAATTTGACTTATCTATAACAACTATCTATTTATACGTCATAACTTAGCGGTTCTTTTAATAATCGATAATGAGATCAAATCTCGAACTGTCCACTTATACTAGTTAATGTTTTGCATGCCTTAGGCGAGATCATCTATCAAACGCATCTATTATGCCGAAGGCAAAACAATCTACGTACAATCAATCTTAGCCCAACCGTCAGGGTCAGGCGGAAATTTAAATAGACGGTGTTTCAAAATATCTGGAGTCAGTACGGCTGAATTTCTTATTCTTCCGGTCCGGATATTGTACGGTTGTAAATAGATTCAATTGCATTTAGAATAATTTGAAATCTTTTGTGGTTACTGCTGGCTTTGTTTCTATATACATACCAACTGTTAGCACCTGTTTAAATCTTACTATTAAAATAGAAAAAATCTGACGGTAGACCAGTTTAACCGACTTTAGCTCATATAAGTCCACTATTATTCCTATACAACAGATAGTGCAGTATTTGAAACGCCAATTTTATAATGGAATTGAAAGTTTAACACAAAAAAAAACCTTAGAATATAATTTAATGTTTACACGCTCATTTATAAATTCTTACATCTAAGTCATCGATTCTAGAATTGTGTAAAATACATCGAGTCGGAAGTGAATCGATTTTTTTCTATGTGATAAGTTGGCAGGTGAGCAGGCGGTTGACTTGATGTTAAGCGATAGCCTCCGCCAATGGAAATTTGCACCACCCGAGCAACCTCACTCACCAGACGAAACGCAGGAGTATAACACTTCCACTTCACGCCGGTATTCTTTGAGGTCGTGGTACTTCCCCGGACGGCCCTGCCCGTTCGTGCAACATCGAAGTCTTGCCTGGTCCTATCACGGTGCAATCAAGTTTCGTAATATCATATCAGGCTTTGCAAAAAGCGTCCTCTTTGTTTCGCGGACTTCGACCTTTAAGAGGTACATCGATGTTGGAATCGTGTCTAATGGATTGGCGTCGAAACTCGCCACGGGCCGTGACGGGCGAGTCGTGACGTCGCGGCCGCGTGTGCCTCGAATGTGCATTACGTGCGGATCGAACTGTCGCAAAGAAAAACCGGCCAAGTGCGAGTCGGGCTCGCGCACGAATAGTGCCATAGCGTCTATAAGAACGGTATAGCGATATAAACAAGTATAGCGGCAACAGAAATACATGATCTGTGAAAATTTCACCTGTCCAACTATCACGGTCCATGAGATACAGCCTGGTGCCAGACGGACAAACAGACAGACAGACATCGGAGTCTTAGTAACAGAGTCCTGTTTTACCCATTGGGTACGGAACCTTTGGAACTTTGGGATCTATTCCTGTATTGAAGGCTGGCGACGCTGCGACTCTTGGCGTTACTAATGTCCATGGATGGCGGTAGCTGCTTTGTGGTATTCGATAAAATAAAGATCGCAGTAGCGGATGGTGAAACGGTTTTAGCACCAGAAAGTGTGGGTTCCATCTCCCGCTATTTGAAAACCGTTTTGTGATGAACTTAATGTTTTTCTAGTGTCTGTGATATTTGATGAACATTTCTTTGGATTTTATCGAATTGATTTTTGTTTGAATACCATTACTACACCGCCTAGCCATCCACTATCACCATAATATGAAAGATCGACCCACTAGTCTAGACCGATCCATAGCAAATGCATTTATCTGAAATATAAAATACTAGCGACCCGCCCCGGCTTCGCACGGGTGCAATGCCGAATGTTTGTTTTCGACTTCGCATTAGAAATCTCTAAAATTATCAGTGTTTCTCTTCTTATATTATGTCATGAATTATACATATACCTAAACATATACCTTCCTCTTGTATCACTCTATATATTAAAGAAAACCGCATCAAAATTACGTAGTTTTAAAGATCTAAGCATATATAGGGACAGACAGACAGCGGGACGACTCTGTTTTATACTATGAAGTGATGGTACTACCAACCGCACCGAAGATCTACCTCCAACGAACGTTCGTCGATTCCATAAATTCCTGTTCATTGTTTCAAAAACAACATCGCCTCGCAGTAAGTACACTTTCTCGTCATGTCTGCGCAAAGATATTTACCGAGCCCGAAGGATCAAAGTCACATTCCAGCGTCGAACAAAGACTATTGCAAATAACGCAGCCTTTGTATGGGCCACTGTGTACATTGCCTGGTGGGCTGTCTGTCTGTTTAAACGAAAGGGCGAATATAGCGCTTATTTATACACGGTTAAGACCGCGTCGGTTGACGGCTATATGCGGTTGTGTATCACGTAAATAAACACCGCTTTAAATCGTTTTGTAAAATGTTATTGGAAAGGAAACATTTACGGCTCGAACCGTTTTCGCTGAAGCAAGAACTTATTTTCAATTTTCGTACCAACCCTGGGCTTGTTTAATACGTTTCCGAGATGAGAAAAATGTTTTTGATCGTATCTCCTGATTTCAAAGCACCTCAAGCAAGAAGAAATGAATTGCGTGTCAATTACTCTATTATTTGTTGCTGTCGAAGTTGCTAAGTCCTGGGCCGGATAGATATGATTTGTCATTGACACGTAAAGAAGAACAAGATTAATTTAATTATTGACCATTGATCTACAATGTAACCTCTCCTATTTATTTACTTCATAAATTACTTCTTCACGCCTTATTGACACCGCGTACCTCTCACGTTTAGTCCATAAAACGTGTATTATTTATTTTGTGAATATTATGTAACCTTCTTAAGTTCTAAGTAAGGCTGCCGGCAAAATATTTCATAAGTTTCTATTATTAATCATTCTTCACCGTTAAGAACGCGGTTATGTACGCGGATATAACGTACACACCTTTAAGAATGGTAGAGGTAAAATAACTCACAAAACAGATGTTGCTACGTGAACGCCAGCTCGACTGGGGAGGTATCACGACCTCATAGAAGGCCGGCGTGAAGTTAAAGTGAGGTAGCCGGAGCCCACAGTCGTAGTAGATAGCACTGCGTGAAGTAAAAGTGACGTAGCCGTAGGCCCACAATCTCAGTGGATGGCAACACGCTTGCGATATCTCTGGTTTTGCGATTAACTTTGGGCAGCGGCCAATTAACATCAGGCGAACAGCTAATTCAGCTGGCATCCCTTGCAAATTATCAATAAACAATGTACTCTCTCGCCTGGTTTCTGAAACTCTGGTCATCGTAGAAGTTAACTAATCAGCTGTCAAATGGTTTTTCAAATGTCATTAAAGTTGCCGAAAGGATGGTTAAACTGTTTTAATTGATCAGAATGATCTTCTCAATGATCAGAATTGACAGCTGATTAGTTGCCTTCTATGATGATCAGTGTTTCAGAAACTGGGCGTCTTTGTTATGTATGCATAAAAGAGGAGATTAAATTTTAACAAGGGTTCTTTTAAGTAATCGGATATCGCTCTCCGCGCCGTATAAAGCTTGCGGAAAGCCGAACAATCCAGCCCGTTTTGAGGTCGGCACGCGGGGCTTATCAACATCCCGACGGTGTTATCAAGAGCGAACAAAGACGGCGCGTTTACTGATGATTCATAAGAGCACGCGCACAGTCCTCCCTTTATGTGAAAGCGACTCGGGTGGCGGCTGTGGGCACTGGTCGGCTATGGGGAGATTTCAAGGCGATGATTCAGAGGTCGCGAACATGTGGCTGTAACGGTAATGGTCGGCGTTGAAAGCTGGCCATTTTTCATGTGCGATGGGCGCGAGAAATTAAAAAAAAGTTGACGTCAAAACTCGCACGGTCCGTTTTTTTATGGTGAATATATTACAAATGTCCATAGTAATGAGATGAAAACGGTATCGTTGTAATGAACACATGCAGATATACCATTGTACGTATACGCAATAGTTATAGAACAGTGTTGAGTTGTACGAAGTTCCGGTGGCGTCTTATTTACTTTTAGCGTCCATGAAAATGTATTCTTGAAACCACGAAGACCTTTGGTTACTTTGGTTTTTACAACTATTACACCTTTTTACTTTGTCCATACATCTCCAAGGACTGGTAATGTAGATATTTATGAAGTCCCCTACACAAAACACATAAAAAAAATAAAATTCAAATTTAAACCTTAACGTCTTAGATAAAAATTACAGGTTGTTGACAGATAGCGTTGACTAGAAAGCGCAATGGTCTTGAACAATAATTTTTATTCGTAACGAGACTTATTAACGCCAACGTATTTCGCTGTTATGAAGATGACCGCGAACTTAAAGCGCGTACGCTGAATACGACTAACGAGGTCTGAGCAGAAGTAGTATCAGAGTTTACGGCTGCACTGGATAATGGATGTTTTCGTTCCAATCGTTTCATAGATTTAAAAACAGCCCACACCCGGGCTGGTACATAAGCAAACGGCGTCACACAATCCTGTGTTATGGTATCGGCTTCATAACAAAGGGCGTACTTGGCTCGCTGACGCAGAGGCGAGGCACGCCGTTGTTTGGTCGCGTTTGACCCGAAAAGCTGAGTCAGCCGAGATACCGAGAGCTACCGGCTCCGGAATTCCGCTTGCGTAACTTCGATTCCTCGCAATCCGGCTGAGAGCCATCAATACCAATGAATTTAATATAGCAAGCTGATATACGATGACTCGGACATTGAGGGTTGTGGGAGTCGAACTCACAACCCTCAACGCCGAAACCAATAGTTTAGCAACGGCGTCACCGAGTCATCTAAGCGGAACTATATTAGTTCTCCTAAACCTATATTTTGCTGATCGAAGACATGGACAAAACCTATTGCCGTGTATCAGATTTACTCTATCTGTATATT